TATTGAAGGAGGGTGTCCTCATTATTAAAGGAGAGGGTCCTCATTATTGAAGGAGGGGGTCGTCATTATTGAAGGAGAGGGTCGTCATTATTAAAGGAGGGGGTCCTCATTATTGAAGGAGGGTGTCCTCATTATTAAAGGAGGGGGTCCTCATTATTGAAGGAGGGGTCGTCATTATTGAAGGAGGGGGTCCTCATTATTAAAGGAGGGGGTCCTCATTATTGAAGGAGGGTATCCTCATTATTAAAGGAGGGGGTCCTCATTTTTGAAGGAGGGGGTCGTCATTATTGAAGGAGTGGGTCCTCATTATTAAAGGAGGGGGTCCTCATTATTGAAGGAGGGGGTCCTCATTATTAAAGGAGGGGGTCCTCATTATTAAAGGAGGGGGTCGTCATTACTGAAGGAGGGGGGTCCTCATTATTGAAGGAGGGGGTCCTCATTATTTAAGGAAGGGGTTCTCATTATTGAAGGAGGGGGTCGTTATTATTAAAGGAGGGGGTCCTCATTATTGAAGGAGGGGGTCCTCATTATTTAAGGAGGGGGTCCTCATTATTGAAGGAGGGGGTCGTCATTATTAAAGGAGGGGGCCCACATTATTGAAGGAGGGGGTCCTCATTACTGAAGGAGGGGGTCCTCATTATTAAAGGAGGGGGTCCTCTTTATTGAAGGAGGGGTCGTCATTATTGAAGGAGGGGGTCCTCATTATTTAAGGAAGGGGTCCTCATTATTGAACGAAGGGTCGTCATTATTGAAGGAGGGGGTCCTCATTATTTAAGGAGGGGTCCTCATTATTAAAGGAGGGGGTCGTCATTATTAAAGGAGGGAGTCCTCATTATTAAAGGAGGGGGTCCTCATTACTGAAGGAGGGGGTTCTTAAGTTTAAAAAAATGAAAGAATCTCTTATTACTGAGGGTTGGAATAGAGCTAACATGACTGGATTAGCGAAGTGGCCCTCATGATTGTACGAGAGAGGGCCCTTATAATTAATGATTGGATGGGGTTCTCGTGATTGTAAAAGGGGGAGGGCGTTCGTGTTTGTAAATTCAGGAGGGGAGAGGGCCTCAATGATTAAGAGAGAAAGGGTCCCATATGAATGTTGGTGAGTGGGGCCCCTCAAAATGGAGACTGAGAGAAGGGCCCATCAAGATTGGAAGAGCAAAATATATCGAATTTGGTGGAGAATTGACTCTCCTTATTACAGAAAGAGGTAAAAGGTCCTCCTGATTTTAGAAGGAAAAGGAGAGGGAGAGGTAGAGGGAGAAGGAGAGGAAGAGGGAGAGGCCACCCTGAGCATTGTTGGAGATGGAGCGCTCCTCATAAATATCAGGAGATGGAAATATGGTGAGGGCAACGAACATGGTAGTCTATGTAACACTTTTGTGTGTAATGGTAACTCTGGTTTATGAGTAAACTCGTGTTTATGTAACATGGAAGTGGATGGTGACCTGGTGAGAATGGAACCGGTGTGTAGGAAACCTGGTGTCTATGTAACTCTGGAGTGGAGGTAACTCTGGTTTTTTATGGTAACACTGGAGTGTTATGGTAACACTGGTGTGTTATGGTAACTCTGGTGTGTTATGGTAACACTGGTGTGTTATGGTAACACTGGTGTGTTATGGTAACACTCGTGTGTTATGGTAACACTCGTGTGTTATGGTAACACTCGTGTGTTATGGTCACACTCGTGTGTTATGGTAGCACTGGAGTGTTATGGTAACACTGGTGTGTTATGGTCACACTCGTGTGTTATGGTAACACTGGTGTGTTATGATAACACTGGTGTGTTATGGTAACACTGGTGTGTTATGGTCACACTCGTGTGTTATGGTAACACTGGTGTGTTATGGTAACACTGGTGTGCTATTGTCACACTCGTGTGTTATGGTAACACTGGTGTGTTATGATAACACTGGTGTGTTATGGTAACACTGGTGTGTTATGGTCACACTGGTGTGTTATGGTAACATTGGTGTGTTATGGTCACACTCTTGTGTTATGGTAACTCTGGAGTGTTACGGTAACTCTGGTGTGTTATGGTAACACTGGTGTGTTATGGTAACACTGGGGTGTTATGGTCACACTCGTGTGCTATGGTAACATTGGTGTGTTATGGTAACACTGGTGTGTTATGGTCACACTCGTGTGTTATGGTAACACTGGTGCGTTATGGTAACACTGTTGTGTTATGGTAACACTGGTGTGTTATGGTAACACTGGTGTGTTATGGTAACACTGGTGTGTTATGGTAACACTGGTGTGTTATGGTAACACTGGTGTGTTAGGGTAACACTGGTGTGCTATGGAAACACTGGTGTGTTATGGTCACACTCGTGTGTTATGGTAACACTGGTGAGTTATGGAAACTCTGGAGTGTTATGGTAACACTGGTGTGTTATGGTAACTCTGGTGTGTTATGGTAACACTGGTGTGTTAAGGTAACACTGGTGTGTTATGGTAACACGTGTGTTTTATGGTAACACTGGTGTGTAATGGTAACACTCGTGTGTTATGGTAACACTTGTGTGTTATGGTCACACTCGTGTGTTATGGTCACACTGGTGTGTTTTGGTAACACTGGTGTGTTATGGTAACACTGGTATGTTCTGGTAACACCGGTGAGTTAGGGTCACACTGGTGTTTTATGGTAACTCTGGTGTGTTATGGTAACACTGGTGTGTTATGGTAACACTGGTGTGTTATGGTAACACTGGTGTGCTATGGTAACACTGGAGTGTTATGGTAACACTGGTGTGTTATGGTAACTCTGGTGTGCGATGATAACACTGGTGTGTTATGGTAACACTGGTGTGTTATGGTAACTCTGGTGTGTTATGGTAACACTGGTGTGTTTTGGTCACACTGGTGTGTTATGGTAACACTGGTGTGTTATGGTAACACTGGTGTGTTATGGTAACTCTGGTGAGTTATGGTAACACTGGTGTGTTATGGTAACACTGGTGTGTTATGGTCACACTCGTGTGTTATGGTAACACTGGTGTAATATGGTCACACTGGTGTGTTATGGTAACACTGGTGTGTTATGGTCACACTCGTGTGTTATGGTAACACTGGTGTGTTATGGTAACACTGGTGTGTTATGGTCACACTCATGTGTTATGGTCACACTCGTGTGTTATCGTAACACTGGTGTGTTATGGTCACACTCGTGTGTTATGGTAACACTGGTGTGTTATGGTAACACTGGTGTGTTATGGTAACACTGGTGTGTTATTGTAACACTGGTGTGTTATGGTCACACTCGTGTGTTATGGTAACACTGGTGTGTTATGGTAACACTGGTGTGTTATGGTAACACTGGTGTGTTATGGTCACATTCGTGTGTTACCGTAACACTGGTGTGTTATGGTCACACCCGTGTGTTATGGTAACTCTGGTGTGTTATGGTAACACTGGTATGTTATGGTAACACTGGTGTGTTATGGTAACACTGGTGTGTTATGGTCACACTGGTGTGTTATGGTCACACTGGTGTTTTATGGTAACTCTGGTGTGTTGTGGAAACACTGGTGTGTTATGGTAACACTGGTGTGTTATAGTAACACTAGTGTGTTATGGTAACACTGGTGTGCTGTGGTAACACTGGTGTGTTATGGTAACACTGGTGTGTTATGGTAACTCTGGTGTGTTATGGTAACACTGGTGTGTTATAGTAACACTGGTGTGTTATGGTCACACTGGTGTGATATGGTAACACTTGTGTGTTATGGTAACTCTGGTGTGTTATGGTAACACTGGTGTGTTATGGTAACACTGGTGTGTTATTGTAACTCTGGTGTTTTATGGTAAATCTGGTGTGCTATGGTAACTCTGGTGTGTTATGGTAAATCTGGTGTGTTATGGTAACTCTGGCGTGTTATGGTAACACTGGTGTGTTATGGTAACACTGGTGTGTTATGGTCACACTCGTGTGTTATGGTAACACTGGTGTGTTATGGTCACACTCGTGTGTTATGGTAACACTGGTGAGTTATGATCACACTCATGTGTTATGGTAACACTGGTGTGTTATGGTAACACTGGTGTGTTATGGTCACACTCATGTGTTATGGTCACACTCGTGTGTTATGGTAACACTGGTGTGCTATGGTCACACTCTCTTGTTAGGGTAACACTGGTGTGTTATGGTAACACTGGTGTGTTATGGTAACACTGGTGTGTTATGGTAACACTGGTGTGTATGGTCACACTCGTTGTTATGATAACATGGTGGTTGTAATGGTTTACACCGGTGTGTTATGGTAACACTGGTGTGTTATGGTAACACGGTGTGATATGGTACACACTGTGTGTTATTAATGGTTAACACTGGTGTGTTATGGTAACACTGGTGTGTTATGGTCACACTCGTGTGTTATGGTAACACTGGTGAGTTATGGTAACACTGGTGTGTTATGGTAACACTGGTGTGTTATGGTCACACTCGTGTGTTATGGTAACACTGGTGTGTTATGGTAACACTGGGGTGTTATGGTAACTCTGGTGTGTTATGGTAACACTGGTGTGTAATGGTCATACTCGTGTGTTATGGTAACAGTGGTGTGTTGTGGTAACACTGGTGTGTTATGGTAACTCTGGTGTGTTATGGTAACTCTGGCGTGTTATGGTAACACTGGTGTGTTATGGTAACACTGGTGTGTTATGGTAACACTGGTGTGTTATGGTCACACTCGTGTGTTATGATAACATTGGTGTGTTATGGTTACACTCGTGTGTTATGGTAACACTGGTGTGTTATGGTAACACTGGTGTGATATGGTCACACTCGTGTGTTATGGTAACACTGGTGTGTTATGGTAACACTGGTGTGTCATGGTCACACTCGTGTGTTATGGTAACACTGGTGAGTTATGGTAACACTTGTGTGTTATGGTAACACTGGTGTGTTATGGTCACACTCGTGTGTTATGGTAACACTGGTGTGTTATGGTCATACTCGTGTGTTATGGTGACTGGTGTGTTATGGTAACACTGGTGTGTTATGGTAACACTGGTGTGTTATGGTTACACTCGTGTGTTATGGTAACTCTGGTGTGTTATGGTAACTCTGGTGTGTTATGGTCACACTCGCGTGTTATGGTAACAGTGGTGTGTTATTGTGACACTGGTGTGTTATTGTAACTCTGGTGTGTTATGGTAACACTGGTGTGTTATGGTAGCACTGGTGTGTTATGGTAACTGTGAGGGAAAAGTAGGTGTAAGTGGGGTTAAGGTTGTTCGGGCAACCAGGAAACATTAGTTACGTCGCGTGCACCCCCCCCCCCTCCTCTCTGGCGGGCTGGGGCGAAACTAATTCCTGGTGTCCGATTTGTTAGTTTCTACTCCTGGTAATATTGACCTTACCTGGTGTGGGTTGAAGTTTGGAGAGTCACTTCACCTCCACTCTTCTCCTAATCAGGTAGGGTGATATACCAGGAGTATCACTGTTTGTTTCTTTATTTTGTTTGCTGGTTACCAGTAATGATTTTGGCATTTATCATTCTTTTCAATTCTTAAATGTTATATTATCATAACTATGGGTAACCAGTTTATTTTCTCTTATTTACCAGCTCTGTTCCTGGCGTGGTCTTCCAGGATAGACGCCAGATAAAGGAGCAAGACGTGTTAATAATACTTATTAACAATATTCTACTACTACCGGCCCTTACCTATTCTACTTGTGCTCCATCCAAGTGGTAGGAGATTCCAGAACATCGGATTGTTACCATCTGCCCCAGGATAACCCACATAAATAACATCAGAGGAACTATCCAGGGCCATACCTACTCCTGCCCAACTAAAAGAAACTGAAGGCCAATTTTTTTTATTATATTTAAATTTTAAGTAAAATTCTCAAAAATCATTATTCTCATTTTTCCTAAATTATTTCTTTATTTATTTATTTTTCCATTAATTTCTTTTGTTCAGTTGGAAGGCGTTCCACTGACAGTAACACTGGTGTGTTATGGTGACACTCGTGTGTTATGGTAACACTGGTGTCTTATGGTAACACTGGTGTGTTATGGTAACACTGGTGTGTTATGGTAACACTGGTGTGTTATGGTAACACTGGTGTGTTATGGTAACACTGGTGTGTTATGGTAACAGTGGTATGTTATGGTAACTCTGGTGTGTTATGGTAACTCTGGTGTGTTATGGTAACTCTGGTGTGTTATGGTAACAGTGGTATGTTATGGTAACTCTGGTGTGTTATGGTAACACTGGTGTGTTATGGTAACTCTGGTGTGTTATGGTAACACTGGTGTGTTATGGTAACACTGGTGTGTTATGGTAACACTGGTGTGTTATGGTAACACTGGTGTGTTATGGTAACTCTGGTGTGTTATGGTAACTCTGGTGTGTTATGGTAACTCTGGTGTGTTATGGTAACTCTGGTGTGTTATGGTAACTCTGGTGTGTTATGGTAACACTGGTGTGTTATGGTAACACTGGTGTGTTATGGTAACTCTGGTGTGTTATGGTAACACTGGTGTGTTATGGTAACACTGGTGTGTTATGGTAACACTGGTGTGAGGGAGAAAAGGTTATTACTGACGATGTTATCATTTTTATTCGGCGAAGTGATGAAAATATTTCCATATTCCCTCTTTACCTCTCTCCACCTTCCTCCTTCCCTTCTTTCCTCTTTCCTTCAGTCTCTGTCTCCGTCCGTCCCTCTCTAATTCCCTTCCTTTCTTCTTCCTTCTCTCCATCTTCTTCCCGTCCTCCCTCTCTCCTTTCCTGCCTCCCTTCCCTCCCTCTCTCCATTTCTCCCTCCCTTCCCTCCCTCTCTCCATCTCTCCCTCCCTTCCCTCCCTCTCTCCATCTCTCCCTCCCTTCCCTCCCTCTCTCTATCTCTCCCTCCCTTCCCTCCCTCTCTCCATCTCTCCCTCCCTCCTTCCTTCCCTCCACCTGGTGACCAGCTGTCACAGTATAACATAACTTCAAAATTTGGGTCCAGCCGCTGGCGACCCGTGAATGTCTTGTGCCTCTCTGACCTTATACTGCACGCCCACTTTCTTCACGCCCATTTTCATAACGCCCACACTTGCCTGCTTTCCATACAACAGAAACGCCCATACAGCATCCACGCTCACACCCACAGTCCCACTGCACCCACACCCACACTCACAGTTACACTGCATCCACACCCACAGTCACACTGCATCCACAACCGCAGTCCCACTGCATCCACACCCACAGTCCCACTACATCCACACCGACACCCACAGTCCCACAGCATCCACACCCACACCCACAATCCTACAGCATCCACACTCACAGTCCCACAGCATCCACAGCCACAGTCACACTGCATCCACAGCCACAGTCCCACAGCATCCACACCCACACCCACAGTCCCACTACATCCACACCCACACCCACAGTCACACTGCATCCACACCCACACCCACAGTCGATGGAGTTAAATGATAAAAAAAATACCGACACGGTGAGAAAATAGACACAGACGCAGTATAATGCGATTCTTAATGACAACGTTTCGCCCACACAGTGAGCTTTATCAAGTCACAAACAGGTCTACCTGGGTTTTTTTTTCTTATTCGTCGATACTCTCCCGGCCCGGGTCTTTTCCAAATAGTGGTGACCCGGCCTTGGCTCCCTAAGTCTTCTATGGGAGGAGGTACAAGTACCCCCTCATCTTTGGGGATCTACCTGGGTAACGAGTACATGAGTATATACAGGGTGAAAAGTCAGGTGGAGAAAATAGGGGAGGTTGGATCTGAGACGGACCTGCAAGGGACGAGCGAGTGTGTATGATGTTATGTAGGATGACGATGAAGAACTTTTTTGGCAGGGGCTTCAGCTATGTTGTAAAAGCCGTTGTGCTAGTTGAAATTGTTAGATATGATGCTTGCAAGATCCTGCACCACTGCGTTCTTCCCTGGCTATGACCCTTGTGTCTCTGTAGTTGATTAAATGGTTGTGGAAGTTTCGGTGTAGAACCCAGATTCTGATATACGTGTTTGGAGGTCTCTGGATGTCTCGCCCACGTATAATTAGTTACATTCGTTGCAAGGGATTATGTATAGCCCTGCAGAGGATTGAACCTTGTCTCTCTCTCTGGTGATGTCTTTGATACTAGTGGATGTGGAGGTAGATACTTGAAATGCGGCATTGGAAAGCATGTTGGATGTGTGTTTGGCAACGGAGTTGGTGAGGAGGACTATGTGTCTCCTCTCGGTAGCATCTTGTCTGGGTGAGTTGAAGATGTTACATGCACGGTGCTTGTAGTCTCTGATGAAGTAACCTGAATAGTGAAGTTTAGAAAATACTTGGTGATGAAAGAACTTTCTTCTTAAAGGAACTCACTGCTACAGATTCGGAGGGCACGAAGGAAGAAGCCTATGATTACACAACTTTTAGTTTTGGTGTAGTGGTGAGAGTAGATGTGAAGAAGATGGTGTTGGTTGGTAGGTTTTCGATAGACTTTAAAACGAAGTTCATGGCCAACTTTAAAGAGAAGAACATCGAGGAAAGGAAGTGTGTTGTCGACTTCTTCTTCTTCTTCTTCAAGCGTAAGTTGGATTGAGTGCTCGACCTGGTTGAGCTTGTGATGGAGAGCAGGGACGTTGAAGCGTCTGGGAGTTATAATGAGAATGTCGTCTACGTAACTGAGCCAGGTGACTGAAGAGGGAATAATAGAGGAAGCTCGGTCGGCTTCTAGATGTTCCATGTATAGGTTTCCCAGTACGGCACTAAGTGGGGGAACCCATGGGTAATCCAAAAGTCTGCTGAAAAAGATAATTTTCAAACGAGAAACATGAAAAACCAAGACACAGTTCAACAGGGTTTATGGAATCCCTGGCTAGAACAAGAAGGTAGAGGGAGTCGTCAATTTTCCGGCTCAGGAGATCAATGGCTTTTGTAGTAGGTACCTTGGTAAATAGGGATGTTACGTCTAGGCTTGAGAGTTTCTTGTTCCTGACGTTAATGTTGTGGATGCGACTGAGATCACCAGAATGCTTAAAGTGTGCTCTACTGATTGTGCCCAAGAGTTTAGAAAAGTGTTTAACGAGAATCCCTGAGAGTTGGTGGGGAGCACTGACTATTCCAGAGGAGATGGGCCTCAGTGGAAATCCTGGCTTGTGAGTTTTTGGCAGGCTGTACATTCTGGCAGGTCTGGGGTTGCTGGGAATGGTGTGCAGAAGTTTCTATCATTGTTCTGAGTCCCTCAGTATCAGGCGTGTCTTGTGAAGAAAGGTTTTGGTTAGGTTGTCCATTTGGTGTGTTGAGAGGTTTGTAGGTGTCTGAGTCATTAAGAAGATAGAGCATTTTGTTCCTGTAGTCGTTAGTGTCAAGTCCACAACACCACCTTTCTTTATCAGCATCCACAGCATTACCATAAGAACATATGAAAGGAGGAACACTACAGCAGGCCTACTGGCTCATACTAGGCAGGTCTTTCTCAAACCCAACCCACTGACAAAAGTATTTGCCCAACTCTGGTGGTCACTAAGTAACTCAGGTGGTCGATGAGTAACTTCAGAATGTTTCACTTTGCTGTTTCAGCGAATAATCACCTTAAATCTTGTCTTTGACATCCGCCACCTGACCTCTCACAGCCACCACAGCTTGTGGTTACGAACTTTGACCTTTGAAATTTGCAAACCCTGACCTTTCACCCTGAATGTGGACCTTTATACAAACACACACATATGTACAATAATTTAGTTATCAACAATTACTCGGCAACCAACACGTCAGAGACGTCAGAAATATATTTAAATATTAGTCTATAAGCGATGCCTCCAAGTTAAAAATTTCCGAATTTGATTTTTGAGGCTCGAGAAAATATTTTGCTTTAAGTTTTATAATCACCGCTACGTCGTGTAGGAATTTCCTCGCATTGGTTTATTAGTTGTATCAGTGACCTTACAGTAGTGAGTTTTATTTCATTCATATAGTAAAATGCAACAAAATAATAATAATAATAATAATAATAATAATAATAACTGCCATAACTACGATAATAATAATTATAATAATAACATTAATAATAATAATAATAATAGCAATTAAGCTTTATAAGATAGATGTGTATTCCACTGGGGCTTATTATCACCATACTCGTGTATACTAATTTGATATATAAGATTCAAATACGCAATTATCTTTCAAAGGTAGCAAAAGACTGCCATCCCCACGAGCCCCTTTGGGGCGGGGCAGATGGCAGACCAGAGGCCTAGCTTCTCCCTACGAGCCCCGTGAGGGCGGGGAATGTGGCTAGGCCTAGGGACAGTTGGTCCCAAAGATGAGGGGGTATTTGTACCTCCTCCCATGGGAGACTTACGTCTCGAGACACTCCCCAGATAGGGAGCCAAGGCCGGGTCACCACTACTTGGAAAAGACCCGGGCAGGGAGAGTACCGGTGAATAAAAAGTTTTATGCACAGAGATGTGTAACGTATTCTTGACTGGTAGTGAACAGGTTACATTCATCCTTAATGAACACTGGTACAGCAGTCGATTGGCTTTAAAACCAATTAATCGACCAATCAACCAAAGATAACAGGTCTATGTTTAAGTTAGGTTTATGTCCCAGAGTATATACGCTGAAGGTTTGCTTTTATTTCAGTTTTAAGAAAAAATATCACTAACACCCAGGTACCTATTTACTGCTAGGTGAACAGGGACAGCAGGTGTCTTAAGGAAAAACGCCCAATGTTTCCACCTGTACTGGGGATCGAACTGCGGACCTCAGTGTGTTAGTTGAGTCGTGTTATTTGTGCATTGTTTCAGCCACGGTATTGACTTTTATTCTTAAGAGGAAGGGAATACTGCAGGAGCAATCAGACTAATAGCCAGCAATGAAACAATTGCCCCCAGAGAATCCAATACA